TGAGATAGCTCTGTGGTCTAAAGCACCTACTTAGAACAAGCTTAGCAAATCACAGGGACCACGGTTCAATCCCCCAGCACCACATGCCAGCCCGCCCTGCCCTGGCCGCGCATGCACACACACAAATAAATAAAATTAAAAATAAAAAAAATAAAAAAAATAAAAAGAAACCAAGCACAGACACGTACAAGATGTGGGCGTCCAGGAGCTCCGGGAAAGGCCAGCTACCTCCACAAGTGGAAGACAATACTGGCCGACTGTTTTCTTTACACCCTGTTTGTGGGCAGCTGGGGAAGCAGCAACAGGAAACACCAGCACAGCAATGTCCCTGGTTGCTCGTGGCATGTGACGGCTGACTGTCCCAGCCGAGGCTGCCCTGGCTAGCGTGACTGGACCAGGGAGGACACCAACTGGGCACCGACCAATCAGGTGCCCCGCCGGGGCAGGGGAAAGGCCCTTCCTGCCGCACTTGGCTGCGGCTCTGACAGCAACAGGATTAATGGATTAAAGGCCTGAGGCGGAGCCTAGTGCCTTCCAGGGACTTCCCTGCAGCCCCGCCCGATGCCCTCCTCAGAATGCCCTGGGTGGGGGCTCTCAGAGTCCCCTTTATCTGTCTCACAAATGCAGTGTTGTCCTGGAGCCGCCCACTGGGCTGCTGAATCCCAGAGCTAAAGGGCCTCAGAAAGATCAGAAGTCACCGCCCCCCCCGCCCCCCGCCTTGCCCTCCAGCGCAGCCGGGCTTGGTCAGACAGTTTATTGCAGGACACAGGACCACAAGAAGAAAGTTCCAGGCGCCTGGAGTCCGCTAGGGCCGTCTTAGCTCCGGGCATCAGTCCCCCATGGGCAGCCACAGGGCCTTGGTTCGCGCTGCCCGCAGCTCCAGCTCTGAGCCTGCCCCATGGGGCTCCTGATCCCAAGCCCGCAGGTGGCCCCAGTTCACCCACACAGACTTGAGGTTTCCTGCTGAGGCCCACTCCACGAACTGGGAGCCCTGCGGCAGACAGAGGGAGGGGTCAGTGCTGGCCAGAGCTGGTCTGTGAAGCAGCTGCTTTCTTAGCAACAGAGTTAGGAGAGGAGAGACGGGAGGCTTGACCTCCCTGGGTGCTGCACTTCTTGCTAGCAACCCCTCCATATGCTGGGGAAGAGGTGACCTGTGGCCAGGGAATTTCCTCTCCATTAACACCCACATCCGCGGGACTGGAGCCTAGGACACTGGTCAACTGGGAGCCCCAGCTGTTACCAATAGAAGATGTAAGAGGGCCAACTTTGGGCTCCAGCTGTTGCTAGGGTGTGGTCCTTAGCAACGAGTCATCCATTGAGATTAGGTCTTTGGACTGGGCAGCTCCTAGGTCCCTGTTGCTAAGGAGATCCTCTTGCTTAGCAACTGGGGCTATAAAGGGGTAAGACCTCAGAACCTTGTTGCTAAGGTGTTTTCCCCGTTAGCACCAGGTGCTGGGAGGGGGCCATGGCATCAGAAAAGGGGGAGCCTGTGGGTGAAGGGAAGCCCTGAGAACAGGGAAACAAAGCAGACCTGGGCAGATCCGAAGTACCACAGGGCCTGGACATCCTGGTGCAAGGCCAGGCAGCGCGTCAGATGGTCTCCATCTCCCGTCACCACATTCACCAGGCCAGCAGGGAACACGGAGGCCACATCCTGGGGGTGGGAGAGAATACTGTGGTGTGGTTGCAAGGCTCCTGGAGGGAACAGGATGGGGCCATACACCGGAGCTGCCTTGGGCAGGAAGCTGGGACTGGGGTTACCATAGTTTACAAGGAAGGTGGCCACAAAGGTCCGACAGCCCTGCCACACCTTTTGTGCAGCCCCAGGGCCTACTGGGAGTAGCAGCCAGCGGGTGACCTTACCTGGCAGACCTCCAGGGCCAGCAGGGGACAGGTCCTGCTGGGCACCAAGACCACAGCATTGCCGTGTGCCAGGGCGGGGGCCAGCAGGGACACGAAGGCAAGCAGAGGCCACGCGTCAGGGCACACGATTGCCAGCACACCGAGCGGCTCCCGGAGCCGCAGCACGGGGCCTCTGAGCCCTGCTACCTATAGGGACAGATGGCAGGTCAGGGACCAGGCAGGGGCGCCTGACTGCCCTTCCTGTCTTCTCCATCACCATCCTCATTCTTATCTTTATTTCTTCATTAAAGTCCAGTAACAATGTGTGCAAAGTTTTTTCGTTTTTTTTTGTCACTTTGAGACAGGGTCTCACTATGCAGGTCAGGCTGGTCTCGATGCTCCCAACGATCTTCTTGCCTCTTCCCCCTCCAGTGCTGAGATTAGGCATGCACCACCATACCTGGCTTTAAAATTTATTTATTCTGGGGGAGCCTGCCCATTAGCTCAGTTGTTTAAGTGTCTGTTTAAGCAAAGCAGTCAGGCTCAGAATTCTGTGGTTCGATCCCCAGATCCTGATGCCTTACCAGACTTGCCTTTAAGGCATCCTGAGTGGGCCAAAAAATAAAAATAAAAATAAAAATTTATTTTTTGGAGGGCTCAGCCCACCCAGAGGGCGGGGCTGGAGTGGCATGTGGTGCCAGGGATCAAACTGTAGTCCCCTGCACCTGCCTAAGCTTGGCTAAGCAGGTGCTTTATATCTCTGAGCTATCTCACCAGCCCCTTATTTTTTAAATTTATTTTTTTATTTTTAGAAGGATCACTTGGAGTTTGAAGTAAGTTCAAGTCCACCCTGAACTACATAGTGATATCTTGTCCCCCAAAAAAGGAAAAAAAAACCAAACCCAAAAACCAAACATCTAGTTGCTGAGCAGCTGTGTGTGTGTGTGTGTGTGTGTGTGTGTGTGTGTGTACGCCTTTTTGAGACACGGTTTTGCTATGCTGTTCAGGCTTGCCTTGAGCTCACTTTGTAGTCAAAGCTGGTCTTAAACTCCCAAGGATTGGGCTGGTCAAATAGCTCAGCAGATTAAAGCACCTGCAAGCTGGGGGTTTGATCCCCCCCATACCCGCCCCGCCCCCGAGGCACACTGAGACAGCAATTGAGACTGGGCTTGGTGGCATGATCCTGTAATCCCAGCTCTTGGGAGGCTGTAAACAGGCGGATCTCTAGGAGTCCATCTAGTAGTGAGACCTTGAACATCCTTCCCTAAAAAACAGTAACAACAACAAAAAAGATCCTCCTGGGGCCAGGGAGATGGCTCAGCCGAATAAGCACTTCACTGGCAAGCACAAGGGCCTGAGTTCAATCCCTGGTTCCGCAAAAAAAAAAAAAAAAGGATCCTCCTGCCTCGGCCTCCCAAGTGCTGAGATTACAGTATGCACCACCACACCCAGCTGACCCTTTTTTTGTTGAGACAGGGTCTTGCTATGTAGTTCAGATTAGCTTTCAATGCACTATATTCCAGGCTGGTCTCAAACTAATGGTGATCCTCCTGCCTCAGCCTCCCAAAGTGCTGGGTGGAGGCTGTGTGTGTGTGTGTGTGTGTGTGTGGTTTTTTTCTTTTGGTGGAACTGGGGATTGAACTCAGGCCCTTGCGCTTGCCAGGGAAGCACTTATTCCACCGAGCCATCTCCCAGGCCCACGTTTGTTTGTTGATGTAGGCTCTTGCTACTTGGTGCACTTTCACCTTGATGTCACTGTCTAGCCCGGGCTGGCCTTGGACTCCTGCATGTGACACCACCCTCAGCTCCAGTTTATTCTTTTTTTTTTTTTATTTTAAATTTATTTATTTATTTATTTGTGTGTGTGTGTGTGTGTGTGTGTGTGTGTGTGGCCAGCTCAGCCCACCAGGGGGCGGGGCTGGTTGGCATGTGGTGCTGGGGGATCGAACCATGGTCCCTGGTGCTTTGCCAAGCTTGTTCCAAGTAGGTGCTTTAGACCACTGAGCCATCTCACCAGCCCCCTAAATAGGGTTTTTAAACAAAATTATTTAATTATTTGGTACAGGGTCTTGCTACGCAGCTTAGACTCCAGGCTGGAGTCAGGGATTGAACCCAGGTCCTTGCCTTGGCAGGCAGTTGCTTCGACCACCAAGCTATCTCCCCAGCCCAACAGGCTTTATAGCCCAGTAAAGAACTAGTAACCCAACCTGGGAAAACTGCACTATAGAAGGTACATGGTCTGCCTGTTACACAGACCAGGGACAGAATCCAGAGAAAGCCAGCTCTCTTGTTCACTGAGCAGCTAGAAGTGGGGGTAAAGCCAGACCCCAAGCCTGGCTCATTCAGAGCTGCAGTGGTGGCCCCCCGCTGCCCGCTGCCCGCCTGCCCCAGGGCTCTCTCACCTGCAAGGTGTGGCCTTGGGCCTGAGCCTGGGCATGCGCCCCCCACAGCCGGAGTCGTCTGGTGCTGAGCTCCACCTCCGCCTTAGCAGCCTGAAGCTCAGCTCCATGCCGCTGCAGCCTTGAGGCCAGGTCAGCTCCCCTGCGTTCCAGCGCAGCCGCCAATGCCACTAGGAGGGCTGCTCGGGCCACCGGAGACTGACGCTCCCAGCTGTGGGCACAGCACGGGGCACAATGAGGTGGCCCCTTGGCCCTGGCTTCCAGATGCACCCCCCTGCCCAGCCGCTGGGGCCCCCGGCAACCCTTTATGCCACCTGCACCCTGGGGCTCTCTGTGGTGGCCCCTCTCACCGAGAGGCAGCCTGGTGAGCGGCTTCCACGGCGCTGTGCACGTCCTTGGCTCCACCTTCAGCCACGTAGCCATGCAGCTGGCCAGAGGTGTCCCAGATGGGCCTGGAACTCCAGGCCCCAGGAGGCTGGAATCGGCCCCCCACGAAGAGTCCGTAGGGAGGCACTGGGCTGGACAAGGGTGTGGCGTGAGGGGCCCTAGGTTCCACCCACTGCATAGACCCCCTCAGCTCTGAAGTCCTGCAGAATCCCCAAGCCCGCTCCCATGAGCCTCTGGGGGACCCCAAACGGTGGGTCCCACGAGCTTCTGGTGCAGCATAGACTTTCATAAATCAGGGCAAGGTGTGGGGTGGGTGAGGCGCTAAGACCGGCCACGCAGCACTCCTCAGAACCCAGAGGCCCCACAAATGGCCTTAGCAAGCCTCCCCTCAGTCCTCTTGTCCTGGGGGGAGCCTGATATAACCTCCCCTTCCACCCCAAGACCACCTGGCACTGAAATAGCTCACCTGGGTCCTGTTTCGGGCCCTGCTGGCAGGGTCTTGGGCACAGCGAGACCAAAGCTGTCATAGTTCAGATGCTCGTAAACAAAGGGCAGCCGATCAGCGGCCCCCAAGGGCTGCAGGTACTCATACAGACCCTGTGAGAGGGGCGGTGTCAATGAGATGCAAGATAACACAGGGGGGAGCAGGTGTCAAGGGGTACTGGGACACTCACATCTGGGCCCCCGTGCCAGGAAGACCCGCTCTCCTTGCAGCCACCCGTGGGCACTGCAGGGTCTTTGAGGCCATGAGTGTTGACCCACACTGTGCCGACCTGGAGCCTGCAGGGACAGATGGAAAAGTGAGGGAGCACAACAGGAAGCTGGGTGCTGAGCCAGGAAGGGGGGAAGGGAGGCTGCCAGGGCAGGGGACGGAACTGGGAGAAAAGGAAGACTAGGCTGCCCCCCCCCCCCCACGCCCAGCAGGGCCCACGGACCCATAACCCAGCTCCAGCGCCTGCCCCAGCCTCTCACTCCACACGCTGGCACTGCCTCCCCAGGGTGTGCTGTTGGCCACCACCAGCGCCTCCTTGGCTGTGCGGAAAGGGGAGGCCATGACCAGTGGCCACGGCACCTGCAAAGGGGTTGGGGTGCTCAGGTAGCCTAGTGAACTTCTCCTTCTAAACCCCACCCATTAGGTGACAGAGTTATGGCAGTCAGCAATCCCAGACCCAGGTGATGTGGGCATCCAGGGACCCACGATGGGCTGAGGATGGGAGGTAGGGTACGGGAGGCCAGTGTCCTGGGATCCCAGGGGCTCACTTCTGACTGGGCACACGGTGATGCGGGGGGCAGACCCGAGACCAATGTTGGAGGATAGAATGGGCTGGCTGAGGACACAGGGACAGCCTGGAACACCTTGAGAGACATAGAAACATGAGAAGTCTTCCTGTACACAGCGCTCCTCCCTTAGACCCGGGCCCCAGCCACCTGGCTGAGTCGCGGCCAGTACGCACCTCTGCGCCCTGGCTCCGGGCCTCTTGTACATAGCGCTGGGCTGCATCACAGGCAGCAGCCCCGCGAGTCCCCATGTCCACGGCCCCGTCCAGTCCCTGGCCGCTACGTAGTTTCCCCATCCTTGTCTGGAGTCGCTTCATGGTTTCCTCCCACACAGACTCTTGGACCAGAAGCCTGAGGCCTCCCTGTGTGAAAGGACACCTGTGTGGCCAGCGTCAGGGCCAGTGGTGGGGGCTGGGCCAGGGACAGAGAGAGGTGGGAGGAACAAACCCACATGCGGTGGTGGTGGTGGGGGTCCAGGTACAGAAAGATGGGACAGCAAAGGCAGGGGTTGTGAGACCAGGGACAGGAACCTTCAGAGAAATAAAGAATCCTGAGGGCAAGGGACATGGAGCCTAAGATGGCCCGAGACAGGAGAGCTGGTCATGGAGATTCAGAAATGAGGAAGGAGTCTAGACACAAGCAGCACAGACAGAGCTTTAAGACTCAAAGAACTGGACACACATGCATGGAGACTTAAGACCCAAAGGTCTACAGAGACCTGATGTCTCCCAGGACACTGGGGACTCCAGTGTGTGTGTCTCACCGGGCTGCGGTCAGACCAGGCTGCGTCCACGACGCCCTCCACAGCCGAGTCTATGTCGGCCGAGTCTGTGAGCAGCATCAGCGACTCCACGCCCAGAGCCAGGCTCAGCTCCAGCCTCTGGCCTGCCAGACTCTGCCGCAGGACACGTGCTTCCTGAAGGACACGAGGGGCTCAGGGGCCTGGAGCTGCTGGGCCCCACCCCACCACCCCACCTGAGCCCTGAGGATACCTCCACAGCCCCACAGAATGCCACCTTCCGCACTCCAGGACAGCAGCCCAGAGCAGCACCCAGGGAGGCAGGGCCAATGATGACATTGAGGATCCCGCAGAAGGCACCGAGTTCCCCTGCCAGCTGGGCCAGGAGGAGGGGGGTTGGGGAGGCTGGGGGGACAATGGCCACTACAGTGCAACCTAGGGAAGGGGAACAACTCAAGGATCCAAAGGTCCAGGCCCAGCCTCCTCCCTCAGCCCTGGGGGTCCAGGCCCGGCCTCTTCCCTAGACCTGGGATTCTGGGCCTCCAATCTCATCCTTTTTGAGATCCAAGAGTTGGGACCCCAGCCCATCATTTACCCACTGCCAAGGCAGGGCAAATCCTCCACATCATCTCCAGGAAGGAGAACGTAGGTGGTAAGATGAGTCCAATAACTCCTGTAAGGAAATGATGAGGGAAATAGGGCCACCACACCGGATGCTGAAAGAGAGGGCTGGGGCTGGGATGCAGGCTCACCCATGGGTTTCCAGCCTGCCAGCACCTCCTCTTGGACATGGCCCTGGACTGCATGGTACTGGAGCAACTGCTGTGCCAGTGGGATGTCCCCATCTCGCACTTCCCGAACGACTCTCCCAGTGAACAGGGAATCCAGTGTCCATAGCAGCTGCTGGTTTCTCTGGATCATCTTGGCCAGCCTATGGAGAAAGCAAGGGGATGGGGTGGTCCTAGGGTGACCAGGACTACAATCCCCATTTGCACCAGGAGCATAGGGCACCAAAGATTTATGGGAAATGTAGTCTCAAACCCTGGGTGTGTTTTCATTATCAGTAACCCCCACCCTAACCAGGTATTGAAAACTTGAGTCTTGACCTAATCTCAACTGTATTTTGGGAAATGGAACCTTTGTCCCTAGTTGCCTCCAAAGTCTGTTAGAGAAGAGCCTTTGGGGTACATTATTCTTTTTTTTTCAGAACTGGGGATTAAACTCAGGCCCTTGCGCTTGTCAGGCAAGTGCTTATTCTACCGAGCCATCTTCCCAGCTCTTTATACTATCCTTTTGAACTGAGCATATTTTAAGAAATAGATGACTCTTCATTTCCTGTCTCAGAGAATCATGGGAAATGAGTGCTCTGAACACTACTGTTTCAAATGCATGCTGGGAATATCTGACTTGGCTGCCAATTAATTCAGTGGCTTATGGGCCACATCCCGTGGACACATTTCTCCCTCATTACCTGGTCAGGTGCTGGGCCCGGTCCCCTCCAGGGACTCTGCTCCAGCTTCCGAGCGCAGCCAAGGCTGCTTTCACTGCCGCAGCCACATCATCAGGCTCTCCTAGGAGGCAACTGGCCAAATTCTCTCCTGTGGAGGAAAATGAGGGGATGCAGGTGGGATGGGAGATGGGCTAAGATTCCCAGAACTTGCTAGTGTCTTGAGGCAGAAAAGCTGGTCTCTAGCTCCTCCACTGTGCCTGGTCATCCCCGTACTACCTGGGTACAGAAGGGATTTCAATAGGTAAGACTGTGAAGAAGAAATAAAAAATAAAAAAGCAAAAGGCTGGGGCCCGGGAGATGGCTCAATGGAATAACCACTTGCCTGGCAAGTGCAAGGGCCTGAGTTTAATCCCTGGTTCTGAAAAAACAAAACAAAACAAAACAAACAAACAAAAAACGGGGGCCTGCCCCTTAGCTCAGTTCTTTAACTGGCTGCTTCAACAAAGCAGTCAGGCTCAGGTTGCGGTGGTTCGATCCCCACAACACAAGATAGCCAGTCATGCCTTGAAGGCATTCGGAGAAAAAAAAACAACAACACTTCTGCCATTGGGCCGGGGAGATGGCTCAGTGGGATAAGCGCTTGACTGGCAAACGCAAGGATCTGAGTTCAATCCCCGGTTCCACAAACAAAACAAAACAAAACAAAACACCCTGTGAAGAAGTTTCTTCCTCCTGGGACTTGCAACTGGAGTTGGAACAACTGGCCTGGTGTCAGAAGGAACCAGCAGTCTGAGTGCTTCTCTGACCCAAGGCTTCTCCCTGCCTGCCCCAGGGGCCCCCAGCCAAGGGAACAGGGTGGGCACAACTGGAAGACACAAACGTCCCTCCCCTGATGACAGGGGGCATCTCATACCTGTGACGGGGTCCTGGCATGGCACGGAATTCCCATGTTCTGGTTTTAGCCACTTCCCATTTACATAGTGGCCCAAGAGGCGATCCTGGGTATCTAGCCAGGCCTGGGGGAGAGGACAGTTTGGAAAAGGGCCTGTGACACAGCTGGGACAGTTCAGTCCCTATCTAGAGCATTCTTGGGGCAGACACTTGAAGCCCTTCACTTCTCCAGTTTTTTCTCCCCCCCCCCCTTTTTTGAGGTGCTGGTCATTGAACCTAGGGCCTCTGCTCTACTAGTGAGCTACACTCCAGTCTCCGTGGTGTCTTTTTTTTTTTTTGGTGGAACCGGGGATTGAACTCAGGCCCTTGCGCTTGCCAGGGAAGCGATTATTCTGAGCTGTCTTTAATGTGACAAAATTCACTATTCTAATTATCATTATTATTATTTATTTACTTGGCACAGGGTTTTTTTTTTTTTTTTTTTTTTGTGTGTGTGTGTGTGGTACTGGGCATTGAACTCAGGACCTTGTGCTTGCCAAGCAAGCTCTTATTCTACGGAGCTATCTCCCCAGCCTGGTACAGGGTCTTGCTATGCATCTCAGACTCATAGTGATCCTCCTGTCTCAGCCTCCCTAGTGCTGGGACCACAGGCATGTACCATGACACCCAGTTTCAGTTGCCAGCCCAGTAGTTGTGCCCAGGGATCCTGGGCTGGCACAGCATGTGGTACTAGGGACTGAACTCAGATCCTTGCCAAGCAGGTGCTTAGGCTGCAAAGCTATCTCCCCAGCCCCACTATTCTAATCATTTTATTTATTTTTTATTTTTTTTAATTTTTATTTATTTATGTGTGTGTGTGGCCAGCTCAGCCCACCAGGGGGCGGGGCTGGCTGGCATGTGGTGCTGGAGATTGAACCGCGGTCCCTGTGCTTTGCTAAGCTTATTCTAAGTAGGTGCTTTAGACCACTGAGCCATCTCACCAGCCCTATTCTAATCATTTTAAAGAGCACAATTTATCAGGTATGGTTGCAAATGCCCGTATTCCAGCACTGTGAGTGGAGGTAGATACTCAAGACACTATCATAAAACACAAGTTTTGGGGGCTGGCAAATAGCTTAGCAGACTAACGCACCTGCTTGGGCAAGCCTATACAAGTGCAGGGACTGCAGTTTGATCCCCAGCACCACATGCTGTGACAGCCCCGCCCCCAGGGCAGGCTGAGCCAGCCACAGCGTCTGGGCTGGCCTGTAGTGGTGCATGCCCGTAAAAAGACACAACAAATCCTTCTCTAAAAAGGGGCTGGGGATTTATCCCAGGGCCAATGGCCTGGGTTCTAAACCCAGTACCACAAACAAACACATACAATTTAGTGCCCTACAGCACATTTACAGTTGTGCCACCATCACTTCTATCTGACAGACAGAAGGACAGCATCACCTGTCAAAAGAAAGCTGTACGCCTGTGGTGCCGGGGATCAAACCCTGGTCCTTGCACTTGCCTAAGCAGCACTTAGCCTGCTGAGCTATATCGTCAGCCCAGTTTCTGTCTTTCAAGGTGTAGTGTATGCCTGGGGAAGACTTAGACGGCTACAGGGAAATTGTGAGCTTATCTTTTTATTTTGGTAGAACTGGGGATTGAACTCAGGCCCTTGTGCTTGCCAGGCAAGCGCTTATTCTACTGATCCATCTCCCCGGCCTACCAGCGATCCTCCTGCTTCAGCCTCTGGAGTTACTGGGGTTACAGGCAAGCACCATTTAGCTTGACTTTATTTTTGTAGTCTTGAGTAATGTAGTGTACAGTAACAAAGGACAAACTAACCTATCACTCATTAAAAGCATAATCTGGGGCCCAGGAGATAGCTCAGCGGTCTAAAGCATCTGTTTAGGTAAGCTTAGGCAACCGCAGGGCCCACGGTTTGATCCCCGGCACCACAGGCTGCGCCAGCCCCGCCTCCAGGGCAGGCTGAGCTGGCCACAAAAAAAAAAAGCATAATCTGTGTTTTCTTTTTTTTGTGTGTGTGTTTTCTTTAGAGGTAGTCAGGGATACAAAAATAGTATTTTGGGCCGGCGAGATAGCTCAGTGGACTAAGTGCTTGCTTAGGTAAGTGCAGGGGCCAGGGTTTGATCCCTGGCACCACATGCTGTGGTGACTGCAATCCCAGCACTAGGGAGGCAGAAAACAGTAGGATCATTACAAGTTCAAGCTGCATAGTGAGACCCTGCACAAAACAAAAAATCACAAATATTTAGGGCTGGCCAGATACCTCAGCAGACTAACACATCTGCCTAGGCAGGGTACAGTGGCCGGGTTTCGATCCCCAGCCTGCCGTGCGCTGAGATGACAATTGAGAATGGGCGTGGTGGGGCCGGGGAGATGGCTCAGTGGAATATGCGCTTCCCTGGCAAGCACAAGGGCCTGAGTTCAATCCCCGGTTCAAAACCTATAGACCCTATACTAAATACATAAAAAAAAAAAAAAAAGAAAGAGAGAATGGGCGTGGTGGCATGTACCTCTAATCCTAGCGTTTGGGAGGCTAAAAACAGGAGAATCACTAAGAGTGCAATCTACGTAGTGAGACCCTGTACTGAATATATTAAAATATAAAAATAGTGTATTGCTAAAAACTTCAACTCTTCACTTGAGCCTATAAGGTAACTCAAAGCAACACAAAGCTTGAACTCTACTTTATCTCATTTCATTATTATTTACAATTATTTATTTATTGTATTTTTAGGGAAGGGTCTACAGGGTGTTCAGGGTCTCACTACTAGATCGGACTCGTAGTGACCCCCCTGTTTACAGCCTCCCAAGAGCGGGGATTACAGGCGAGCGCCACCTTGCCCAGTCTCAATCCGGCTCAGTGTGCCCCTGGGCCGGGGCTGGCACGGCAGGGGGATCAGACCCCCCCCCCCGGCTTTATCTCCTTTATTACCTTAAAACTACAGATACTTGTATGTCACTCACTGAGGATGAGTTTATTAGAACAAAGCTTCTTGGGCTTCGAGGTACTGAGCCCATTTCCTGCTCTACCTTTTGTTTGCTTTCCCATTCAAGCTTTTGCCCATAAACTCACCCATTTCTTTAGCTCTAATTTTTATTTCTACTAAGGCAAGAACACATGCCAGCCAGTGACATGGAGTCTCCAACCCAGGGCCTTAACCAAGCTACCTGCTCTGCTAGTGAGCCCATTCCCAGCCCTCTTTTTTTTTTTTTTTTAATTTTATTGAGAAACAAATATCAGTGAGACCCAGCCCTCTTTACAAAGTCTTTATTCTTTTTTTTTTAAGTCTTTATTCTGAGAGTCAAGCTCAGTTGCCCAGGCTGACCTTGAATTTGATATTTTTATCTTTTTTTTTTTCCTTTTTTACAGTACCGGGGTTTGAATTCAGGACTCTGAGCTTGCCAGGCAAGCACTTGTTCTACTGAGCTATCTCCCCCGCTTTTTTTTTTTTTTTTTTTGGAACCGGGGATTGAACTCAAGCCCCTGCGCTTGCCAGGGAAGCGCTTATTCTATTGAGCCATCTCCCCGGCCCCTCCCCTTGAATTTGGTATTTTCCTGGTTCAGCCTCCTTAGTAGCTGGGGTTACAGGTGTGCCTGCCTTTGTTGACTTTTTTTTTTTTTCCTGGTACTGGAGTTATTCACACTAACATATATTCCAGTTCCTCTTCTTTAGTTGAGACAGGATCTCAGAATGTGGTTCAGGTGGCTTTTGAACTCCCTGTGTAACCCAGGCCTGCTTCAAACTTGAGGTGACCCTCCTGCCTCAGCCTTTTGAGTGCGCAGATGACAGGCACGGACCCACACCCTCTTTTTTTATTTTGTATTTTGAGGCAGGGTCTTGCCAAGTTGCTCAGACAGGGATTGAATTTGGGATTCTCCTGCTTCAGCTTCCTCGGGTGCTGGGAGTATAAGCATTTACTACCACACACAGCCTCTCTTGGCATATATTTATTTATTTATTTCTCTTGACTTTTATACAGGAGAAGTTGAAAAGATTATGGGGCCGGGGAGATGGCTCAGTGGAATAAGCGCTTCCCTGGCAAGCGCAAGGGCCTGAGTTCAATCCCCAATTCCGCAAAAAATGATTACTAAAACCTTTTCTTAGACTGGACGCAGTGGCACACATCTGTAATCCTAGTGCTGGGAAGGAGGCTGAAAACAGGAGGATCACTATGAGTCCAAGCTACATAGTGAGACCCTGTACCAAACACATTAGAAAACAAAACAAAACTTTTTCTCCTCCATAGAGAAATGAGGGCACCTGCCCCTTAGCTCAGTTCTTTAAGCGGCTGCTTCAACAAAGCAGTCAGGCTCAGGGTGCTGTGGTTCGATCCCCACAACTCAAGCCAGCCAAACCTGCTCTGAAGGCATTCGGAGCAAAAAAAAAAAAGAGAAATGACTTCCAGCTCATTTTTTGTTTCCCTGGAAACCTTACATATTTCAGCTGCTACTAGGCGACACTGACCCCAGATTGATCAGGGTCTCATTGACCCCTGGCACCACATGTTGCCCTGGCTCCGTCAGACGTGCTGAGCCTGCAGTAGAATCTGGGCGTGGTGGCACACAACCGTAATCCCAGCACTAGGGAGGCAGAAAACAGGAGGAGCACTACAAGTCCCAGCGGCATAGTGAGACCCTGCACAAAACAAAAAACAAACAAACAAGAAAACCACAATTCTTTAGGGCTGGCCAGATAGCTCAGCAGACTAAAGCACCTGCCTAGGCAGGGCACAGTGGCCAGGGTTGGACCCCCAGCCTGCACTAGGACTGGGAGTGTGCACACTTATCCAGCAGGAGGCCAGGGAGTTAGTGCTTCCGGGAGGGTTTTGTACCTTTGTACCCGAGCCCAACCCTGGTTGGCACCCTAGAAGCAATGCTCAGGAGACCAGATAGCCATCTTTGGGGTGTGGGCTTCTAGGGCATGCTGAGGGTGACTGAGACTGGGTGTGGTGGCACATACTTGTAATCCCAGCTCTTGTGGGGCTGTAAACAGCTAAATTTCTAGCACCAGCTCCCACCTGACCTTGCTCCTCTATCTTAGCCATTACCACTGGTGGACAGAGGCCTGATGCTGCCTGGCTCTGTACAGCCTATTTGGCCATGAGGTCTAACAGCCTGGATGTGCTGCTCGGTGTCACAGTGAGATAGCTACAGGCCACCTTGGAGTTAGGGCATGCAGCTGGGCTTGAATCCTAGCTCCAGTACTCACCTCATATGCAAGTGGAGCTAGGAGTTTCTTTCCTTTTGTATTTTAGGGAAGGGTCTACAGGCTGTTCAGGGTCTCATTACTAGATTGGACTCGCAGTGATCCATCTGTTTACAGCCTCCCAAGAGCTGGGATTACAGGCGCGCACCACCATACCCAGTCTCAACTGCCATCTCAGTGAGCCCTGCGGGTGGGGCTGGCTCGGCAGGCCCGGGGATCGAACCCCCAGCTCCTGCACCTGCTTGTAGGCACTTCAATCTGCTGAGCTATTTGGCTGGCCTTGGAACTAGGAGTTTCTTCTTAAAAGTTATTATTAGGGCTGGCCAGATAGCTCAGTAGACTCTGCTTAGGCAGAGTGCAGTGGCCAGGGTTCAATCCTGGGCACCACAAGCTGAGCTGGCCCCGCACCCGGGGTACACTGAGACAGTGATTCAGATTGGGTGTGGTGGCACGCACCTGCGATCTCAGCGCTTGGGAGGCGGAAAACAGGAGGATCACTGTGAGTCTGATCTCTGTAGTGAGACCCTGTAGATCCTGCACTAAATACATTTACAAAAGAAAAAAAAAATTATCAGTTTAGGATTTTTTTTTTTTTTGCGGTACTGGGGATTGAACTCAGGACCTTGTGCTTGCCAGGCAAGTACTTATTCTACTGAGCTATCTCCCCGGCAATTCAGGATTTTTGTGGTGTGTCTGCAGGGTTTCACTACCCCACCTCAACTCGTAGTGATCCTCCTGTTTTCAGCTTCTCTAGTGCTGAGATTATAGGCACGGACCGCCACGCCCAGTCTCAATCACTGTTTCACGGCACCCCAGGGGTGGGCCTGGCACAAAAGGCTGGGGATCAAACTCCCAGCCCCTGCGTCTGCCTAAGCAGGTGCTTTAATCCACTGAGCTATCTGGCTGGCTCTAGTTTAGGTTTTTTTTTTTTTTTTTTGCAGAACCGGGGATTGAACTCAGGCCCTTGCGCTTGCCAGAGAAGCACTTATTCCACTGAGCCATCTCCCCAGCCCTCAACGCTCTTTTTTTTGATATAAGATCTTGTGATGTAATTCATGCTGGCTTCAAAATCCCAGTGATTCTCTGACCTCAGTCTCCCCAAGTGCTGGGATCACGGCCCAGTGCCACCATGCCTGGCTCGGGCCAGGGGTTTCCCTCATTTCTTGCCTCTGTTGAGCCATCTGCAGCATGGCTAATCCCAGTGAGACGTGCTGAGGGTTACACAAGTCAGCACACGTTACGTGCCTAGAACAAGTCTATTTCCGGTGCATATGTCCCAGGTTTCCTTCTTTCCCTGGCCTTACTTTCTTTGTTGTTAAATGCGACACACGTGTCCCACTGTCTCCTACAAAGTGTCTCCCTCCTCAGCAGCCTTTTGCTTTTCCTCCCACTCTGAAAGCTAGACCTTCTTGCTTCTCTTGAAAATAAAATGGTCACCTAGAAGGCCTAAACCCAGTGTGCAGGTAGAAAGAGCCGCTTCTGCCAGAGTCAGGGATACGTGATCAGGAACTGGGGATAGAATATTGAAGAATGCCTGCTTTGCCACGCCAGGGACCCCAGCACTCAGGGAGGCTGAGGCAGGAGGATTTCACGTTGAAGTCCAGTTTGGGCAAATTGGTGAGGCTCTCAAAATAAAATACAGGGCTGAGGATGTAGTTCAGTGTGAAAACTCTAGGGTGAATCCTCAGTATTCTTAATGTGAAATGTAATAACGAACTGATGGTTATACAACAAAGTGAAACCGTATCTATTAGAAAGAGGCAAATCAGGTGTGGTGGTCCATGCTTGTAATCTCAACATTTGGGGGGGGCTGAGGCGGTAGGATTGCCATGAGTTTGAGGCTGGCCTGGGCCACATAGCAAGTTGCTGTCATCAAAAAAAAAAAAAAAAGTCAAATATGTTTGGGAAAATGACATGACAATTGAGATTTGTTTAAAGAACTCTTAAAGAAAGCAGAAAGAAAAATGGGATGGTAAATACTGGATGAAATGTTGATGGCTGCTGGAGACAACGGGGTAAGAGGGAGTTCATAAGTACCAGCTACTCCTGGGAAGACGGGAAATCTCCCAGAAGCGAGATCCCCAAGGAAAGCCCTCAGGGTCCCAGCAGGTCACGTAAGTGGGGCACAGGGTCTGTGAGGACTGCAAGCTTACAATTTAATCTAAAAAGACAGCAACAATTCACTCCAGATGAGTCCTGTCAGGGAACTGGAGCCAGAGGTTGCCACATTGTGGAATTTTATTTCCAAGAGAAGCTGGAATCCTGGGTATTTATTTGGAATTAATTGTCCTGCAGCTGACATTTTCAAAAACAAAAGCTCAGGCCAAAGGAAACATGTTTGTTGGTTAAGTCTGGCCCGGGAACTGTGGGGCTGTGACCTTTGTTAGAGGGGAGGAAAAAACCACAGATCTAGAATCCAAGGGCCCAAATTCAAATTTCATTTCACTCTGTGTGTGTGTGTGTGTGTGTGTGTGTGTGTGTGTGTGTTGCTAAAGACTGAACAAAGGGCCACTCTACCACTGAGCTACACCCCCAGCCCATTTTTATTTTAAAACAGGGTTTTGCTAAATGGTCCATGTTGGAGTAGAATTTGTGGTCCTTCTGCCACAGCCTCCCAGGGTGCTAGGATCACACGCGCGCACCACAGCACCTGGATGATTTTTCTTTCCTTTTTTTGAAACAGTGTCTTCCTGTATAGTCTTGGCTGGTCTTGAACTCACTGTGCAGCCCAGGCTGGCCTGCAACTCTCAGTGATCCTCCTGCCTCAGCCTTCCAGGGCTGGGATCATCAGTGGATGCCACCCTGACAGGCAAGTGCCTCCAGTAGTCTACACTGGTGGGGGCCTGCCCATTACCTCAGGTGTTTAAGTGCCCGCTGAAACAAAGCAGTCAGGCTCAGGATGCTGTGGCTCCATCCCCTCATCCTCAAGCCAAACCAGACCTGCCCTGAAGGCATTCTGAGCGGCCAAAAGAAAAAGTCTACACTGGTGAGTCCTAGGTTTCTTGCCAGGTCCAAATGGCATAGACCTTTGATCCACTGCTTTGGCTGTCTCTCACACCCTCAGTCCTCCACACCCTGTTCTTCCTCTGGCAAAATGGACCCCAACCCCATCTCCATAACTGCCCCAGGCTCTGACCATGCTAGCTTCTAAAAGGCCCCGAGAGATCACAGGATTCCCTGGATATTCTAAGGAAACTCGAGAAAACCATAGGAACTCCTAGGCAGTCAGTCTGAGTAGGGCTGGACAGATCACAGACCCTCATGGGACCCTCCCCCCCCCCGTGATCAAGGGCTCCCCATGGACGTGTTGTGGGGCTGCCAGCAATTACAGAAGTTCCGACATATTTTGAGGTTCCGAGAAAAAAAATTTTGGGGCGAGCTGGCTCAAGCTGCCTTAAGGCGGGGGAGGGGGGGGGCCTGGTAAGGTAGGTGGAGCTGGGGATCGAACCTCGTATCCCGCGCCTGACTACGTTTTTCTTTTTCTTTTTT